TATTCTCTAGCTTACATGTAGCATCATTCAGTGGTGGAAAAAGCATTTACTTCCTTTACTTCCTTTAAGGAAAAATACCAACAACATTTTACTGTTGTAGCTGGTTGAGTGGGAGCAAGTCTTAATGTCTTTAGTTATGTTGGAAACCACTGGTTTAATATTTAGCAATGCATTGTATTTTATAAGATTAATATCTCTCTAATAAAGGAAGGAATCCGTGTGTGTGTGTGTGTGTGGTTGTATTTCGATGATGTCAGGAACCGTTCATCCGTTCAGAATTAATAAATATACTATAAACAGCGCTAAGCGGAGCTCTGCAGCAGCAATGGCGGGTAGTGCTCACGGCAACAGCAGAGACGGGGCTTATAGGCTCCGATGTGGTTGTGATTTGTTGAAACTGAGTTATCACGCAGGTTTGCTACAAGTTTTATGAAGTTCAAAGGAAGCACTGAGTATCTAGCAGCATATCTGCCATTGTCGTGTTGTTTTATTGTAATTAATGCTGCTGGTAAAACCAATGTGAGACACACATTTTGAACAAAAAGCACAGGGAGGCGTCACATGGGCCCCTGTGAACGGGCACTGCACAAGTGTTAAAGGTTCGGTGTGTAAGATTTAGTGGCATCTAGTGGTGAGGGACAACATGGAAAACGTAAGCCAAACTGTCACTGTTTCTGCATCACAGTCCATTATAAACCACACATTAGATAAAGTTTATACAAATATTGACAAGGGAAACACATTAATTCTCGCTGTGATGATGTATCCTCGCCAAAACTGCCCGCCAACAATAATATCTTACCCACTGCCAAAAATATAAATAAATAAATACTTTAATAGCGGTGCTGAGAAAGATCTGTCATGACAGCAACAGTTACTCACATAATCACTCCCTCTTTAGTGGTTTTGCCTACAAAATAAAAGCGCGTGAAGCTTGTTTTCTGCAATGCCGTATTTGGAGTTGAACTGAGCTTTTACTTTGAAAAATTCTGAAAGACATTAAAAGAGTTTGTAGCCTGCTTGACACACCTCTGAAAGAGCCGTCAGAGATTGTGATTCCCCAAAATGTCTCTGCCTGGAAATACTGGGGAAATGCAAAAGCGTCCGTAGGTTGGTGGATGCAAATCAAACACCGAAACAAAAACAGTGCAGCACATGCTGTAATGTGAGAAACATTCGCTGCAGAATCCATTTATTGAAGAGAGAGGGGGAAAAAAAGTTGTCCTAAAGTGGAATCGAACTCAACCCTTTAGTTGCGAGTCCTGCGCCGTACTGACTGATCTAACCAAACAACATGTTAATGCAAGTCAATATTATGGATCATATTCTCATCCACCATCTAATGGTTGAAAATATTTCTCTGATGCAAAACTTATTTGCAGACCCCTGCTGTATGTTATTACTAATTCTTCTTCTTCTTCTAACGTACATATTCAACACAGTGATGAGTGTCTGTACTGCCTGAATTCTACCAGAAGTAGAACAAGAAGAACGTAGTGACAAAACGTGCTCTGTAGCGCTGTTTGTCCGTTTTCAGCTACTGTAGCAACATGACGACGCAACGTGGCGACGCCCGCGGTTATGTAGATATAAACGGCTCATTCTAAGGTTATAAAAACATAACGGTTTATTATGTAAGGTCTTTACACACCACTGAAAACATAGTTATGGATCTTATATTGCATTTCTATCAATAGATACTACCTTTAAGTAACAACTACATCTGTCTCACTCTTTCCTTCAGTAACCTTTTGCATATTAGACAGCTTAGTCCTTCTCGACCATGTTCAAACTCATCAGACTATTGACAGCCACACCGTGTCTCGTGTCAGAAAATAATTAGCAAGTGGTCTCTTTCGACGCACTGGGGTTCTGAACCATTCTTGTGATTTGAAACCTTGAGAATTTCTCCTTTGAAATTGTTGAACGCAATTATGTGCTCAGGATGGGAGATAGCTGAATAATATGGGAGGTGGGACCACTAACATTTGATTTGGAGAGTACTTTGAAGTAAAAATAGGGAGTTATTGCTGCTACAAAAGCTGCAGGAGTGCATGTGTGTGTGTGTGTGTTTGGCCACGTGTGCTCTGAGTGAACGGTGTCTTTCTCCCTTCCCTCACTCCCCTTTTACATAAATGATTCAGAGTGTAATAGAAGTTTTATCCTTTCAGTCTTAAATTGAAATGGAGTCTGCTTTAATCTTGCAGACCACAGCAGACTGTGGCATTAAGGTTACATGAGGATCAGAGCAGCCACTGGAGCGCTGCTACTCCTGTCATAAAAATGTAATAGAGGGATTGAAAGCCACAGTAATTACAAAGATCTGGTGTCTGTTCCACATGTTTTTTCAGTACCTCGGACCTCGGAGTGTGTAATTTTACAGTGTTCATAGTGTTAATGACAAAGAAAGATCAAAGTTTAGAAAACCAATTACAACTTGAATTATCAGTTGTTCTGCTGATTATTTTTGTTGTTGACTGTTTTGTTTATAAAAAAAGTTGAAATGCTTTCCACAGTTTTCCAGATTACAAGATTACTTATTTAAATAGCAAATTTGTTTTGTCCAATAGTCAGAATCAAACATATTGAATGACACCTAATAAATAATACACACTTAAAAACAAAGTATTCACAAAAAATTAAAAGTACAATAATTGTAAAACAAATAGATGTTTGAAAAGAAGAAGTCACCAGCTCATACTAAGATGATTAATGACTTGATGATTAATTTCCTTTCAATCAATTTATTGTTTGAGCTCGAGTCAAAATGTATATTTCAATTAACATTTATATAGATGTGTGTAGTCAGCTGGTCTATATCTAACTTTAAACTGCTTCAGCTTAGATGCTGTAGGTGAAACACACGTCCATCTATTGATTATAAAACTTTAGTGTCAGCACCAGCAGCTCTGCTTATGTTCCTCTGTTTGTGACAGAGATGCTCACAAGTCTTTGAGCTAGAGTCCAAGTCAAGTATAATTAAAGTTGTATCACCTGCTGCGTTCAAACAAGGCTGCTTATAAAACTGCTTCTCTATAAGGGATTCTGTAACTCTAACCTGTTTTTCATTTACAGAGCCACAACCATGTAATGTGCAGTGCAATTAATGACAGCTTATTAACTACTGTAAGTCAATACCAACCGCAGGCTCTCAAACCCAGTGTAACGTTTACTAAATAAAACTGTAAGGTTACATGATCACCAATAAACCTGTAGCCTGTTTTTCGCTTACAGAGCACAACCATGTAGCCTAATTTACAATGCCTCTACAGCTAATCACAGCTTATAAACTACTGTAAGTCAATATACCCCCAGACTCTCAAACCAGTAATAACGTAATAAACCTGTAGCCTGTTTGCAGCCACCGTTAATAATTAACTTGATGGCAGCCAGCGGGGCGTAAATGATTACGTTAATCGACCACCACAAAGTTTGGCGAGCAACAAACAAACTCTCATTCATCATTTCATAGCACAGTCGGAGTTAACCTCCCGTAGGTCAAAAGGAAGAAGCAAGCTAACATTAGATGGCCAATGCTGAGCTAAACATGATGACTAACCTCAGGTTACTATCCTATTTTGCGTTCAGCGCTTCTTTGTTTGGGTCTTGTTGTATGAAGTTTTGAAGCCAAAGTTTATGATGAATTGCACATCAGCTGCCGGTGTTTGTTGTCCTCTCACATGTGGCCGCGCGCAGCAGATCCGTAGTAGGTTATAGGTAACGCAGGGAGGGGAGGAACGGCATGCTCATCCGAATGTTTCCTAAAAATAAACATTGCCTACGAGTCCCACACCTCAAGTCAAGTCTGAAGTCACCGTGTGTGCACCGTAAGTTGGACTCGAGTCCGAGTCTCAAATTTGAGTCCCTGTCTCTGGTTTGTGAGGTTTTTTTCTTCACACATCCAGAGGAGTTGTCACTGATTGATCTGCTTCCTTCCAGCTGAAAAGACACTCAGAAGGTTCTCTGTATTTTCTCGACACTGCTGGGGGAGCAGTCTACACAATATACACACACACACAGAGGTACAGACAGTAAAGGTAATGTTGCTATAGACTGAAAGAATAGTAATGTTTATGATAATAATCGTAATGATAATGAATGACTAAACACCTTACAGTTAGATAAGATGTGTTTTGCCTTGAAGACAATCTATGTTTTTCTCCTTGGCAATATTTTACATTATCATGGAAATATGAAAGGATGTGAGGAAGCGAAGATATAAATTGAATATGGGTGGTTTAGTGTCACATGGTGTGATTATTTAGACTCTTATTGCCCTTTTCTCCCTTTTTTCTCCTCAGTTTATTTTGTTCTTATGACTGATCTGTCCTGTTTTTCACTGATTGAATGTCAAGTGGATACTTGTCTAACACACGTCCTTTGGCTTTATTAATGTTAAAGTGAATTTGAGTGTATTAATCTTTTAATGGTGTTAGTGGAGGCCGTCTGTATAAAACACTACGGCACAAATAAAATAGTGTATTTTCGTAAGCATGTAAACTAACTTTTGCTCACAATTCCACAATTCAGGGCTTCATCAGTGTCGTCGTGATTTCAGACATAAAAATGACAAATATGCTACAGAACACCTGGTAATAGTAACTCATAATTTTGACTTATAAATGTCCTAAATATCAATGTACTGCTCACCATAGAGCGCCTTTTGTAATGTTAGTCAAGTATGAAAAACATGAGGTACAGTTTGGAAGCTTAGTGGACAATGAGTAGCTTGTTGTAGTCTCTGGTATTATCTTTACTCAAATATTTGAAGCAAACAGCACTGATTACCCTGATATGACATGATGTTGGAAAGGTCAACAGAGTTTGACCATGGCCGTCAAGTGGAGTGGTGTGTATCTATGTGTTTGGGGAATCCAGATAAGGGCAGTGCTGATTTTATGAACAGTGTCCTGAGAAAAATGTTACTGAGCATCTATCCCTCCCTGTTTTCTCCTCCTATATCTTTCCAACTATCTCTTGGCTCACCTCCTTGTGTGCAGGTCCACCTGTTGAAGGACCAGCTGAGTGCAGAGGCCACGGCTCGGCTGGAGGCCCAGGCTCGAGTCCACCAGCTGCTGCTGCAGAACAAAGACCTGCTGCAGCACATCTCCCTGCTGGTTAAACAGATCCAGGAGCTTGAGACCAAGATGTCTGGACCCAACTCCAGTGAGTAAATCACATACTGTATGCTGGAGTTTTCATATACATGAATGCGCACTTGCTGACATGTTAAAGTACTTGCACAGGCATATAAAGTATGCATAGCTGCATAGAAACAGACACATATGTATGTTTTATATGAAGGGATGTGCATTTTACCATTTGCGTCTGATATCACCCTTTGCTGGCAGCCAGTAGGAGAAATAACACCAGCAACAGGTGTCTGTAAGAGCTGCACAGCCACAACATTACGTCTGGACGCTTTAGCTATTATGCTCTGATTTTGACCCAGAAAGGTAAAGACAGGTTAGCATCCACCACAAACAGTACAAACAACAGCCCATCAATTATTCACTTACAGTAAAATAATATTTTGGTCATGTGCAACACAGGCCTTTGTTCTCTTAAATACTATAAGAGCATCTACCAAGGCCGCAGACAGTCCTTTGAATGTGTTTTATTATAGAAAATGTTTAGAAATTTGTATCCTGCCTTTGGATCAAGTTGTGTATCATAGTAAACCTAATGATAGACAGATCTAGTTCAGTAGTGACCAATGACCAAGCCTATTAATTAGATCTCAGAATATTTAACAAACTCACCTAAAACTACATACTGGTCCCCATGCCTCACCTCTTACCTGATTTCACTGGCTAACAAATGATAAAAAAAAGTAATAGCAGCACATGTCCTCTGTTATCATATACTACATAAACCACATTTCAACTGTAATATAAGATTATTTCAAGTTTATATAAAGACTACTACTACTTAAAGAACTTTAGGTAGTTATCAATACTCCTAAAACACCATTCGCTACTTATTCAAAACATAAAACAGGAAAAGATAAACAAAGGACATGAGACAATGTAACGTGTCAGAAAGACACACTGTAATAGACCTGTCCTTAGTCACCTGCCTAGTTTCCCTGAAACACCAACCTTCCCAATCCTCAGTAAAGGCAAAGACAAAAACTCCCACAGGTACGTACTATGAAAGAAAGGTGGCCTAACTAAACCATAAAAGGGACACTGATGATAAGAAAAAAGAAATAAAAGATGGACATGACGGAGGCATACAGATGGTAATTTAGAGTCTTACGCCACCACCTCGAGGTCAACTCACACTACCGCTGTCAGGTAAAATCCTCGCATGCGGCAGAGCAAACATCCAGCCACACATACACAGCAGTACTATCTACGACAGCCATGTTCAGCTCTGTATGCGCTCATACTGACAGCAGACAGAGTGAGGGTACTGCAGACGTCAGACAGGCTTGTAAATGGAAATTCCTACATTAAACCTTCTGAGCACCAGTGTGAGACCAGATTCTGTTGTCGTATCAGCCGCTCTGTTTATCATGCACCACACACATCCTGCCATTCTTTCGTCCACACCCCCCCTCTGTCCTTTTCATCACTCTCCCCAGATCTTCACATATTGTTAAGCCTGTTCATCAGCTATTCAGACAGACAATCTTCTCTGCACTATCGCAATCCAGCCTGCCCTCCAGTTGTCACCCTGCAAGAAACAATCTTTTATCTTATCAGCATTTCAGAGATTCAGCGGGGAAAGTATTTGCTCATTGTCACCTCTGCATGTTACACATTTTAAATGCACCTAAATTTGCACAAGGTCAGGAAAACCGTTCCATGGACGCACTTAATATGTCATGGATTTTTAACAAATTTACAGCAATATGCCTGTGACTTATCAGACACAGGCACACAACTAACAGTATCAGTTAGGACTGCATTTCATCTGTAGTGTGTCAGAGTGTCCATTTGTGCAGTTTTGTGCATGCTGGCTCACTAGCATGTCTTATTGACACACCTCAATGGAAAGGAACCGTCATTCATGTTATTAGTTACACCTGTCCTTTTCCTGCTACCACAATCAAAAATGTCTCCCGTGAGAAAGGTCTATTTCACAGCATTTTCACAGCATTTAGTAGAATTTTACAGCACAAAACATGGTCTGACTAATAGAGAAGAGGTGGCGATCCCATTCAGGAGGTTTAAGACCAGTTCATTGCTTGATCATTAGAAAGCCTCTAAAAGGAATACTCTGCTGAATATACGTTTTGCGTATCCAAAACTGACTGAAAGGTTTGAAAGTGGCTCTGGAAAGTTTGATGTTTTCTCTATTGCGTAAGCTGTAGATAATTTAGGAGTCACAGGAGTTACAGTGGATAACCGGAGTCATGGCAAAAACGTCACAGAAGCGTCTTAAACCACTCTGCTGATGATCTGTATGTTTAGTATATTACAAACAATTGTCGTTTTACGAATAAATCACTAAAAAACATTGATTTTAGGACCTCTCAGGAAGCAATATCTCAAGACAACATTTGTGTTTCTAGTTGTTTTATGCAATTTTTTCAATTTAGTGGGGTATTTGGTAAATGGATTCCTTTTTTCTTTTATCCAAAGCACACCAATGTCAGTGAGCTAGCAAGGTGCTGGCCTGACCATCAGGAGCTATTTGGGGGTTCAGTGTCTTGCCCAAGGACACTTCAACATGTGGTGCTGGGGATTGAACGACCAACCCTGCAATTAGATGACCCACTCTACCTCCAGAGCCACAGCAGTCTTAGCAGTATTTACTAAGACTAAGGATGTAAATTAGCTCAGCTGCAGTTCATTGATTTACATAAAGCACTGCTAAAACCTTTTGGAGTGGAGCGCACAAGAAAGTGGATTCTGCTGCTAGGGTGCGATCATCCTGCAAAACGAAGACTATATGTGAGGAAATATAGTATGGTCTGATGTTGTCAGCCTCAAAAAAAGATCAGTGATTGAATGACAAATTAACAATAAGTGTGAGAGATTTGTGGTAAAACTTTTTGACTAAATGATCTTCAAACAGATTAAAAAACAGCCTACTTAATAAGTATTACTGGCTGCTTCAATAATGTCGCACTGGACAGGAGCTGTTACGAGCCATTAAAAGTCAGTAAAAACACATATTCAAGCAGGAGGCAACTGCAGGAAAAAGACATCTAAAGTAAAAAAATAAGGTTTTTTAGTCGCTGCTCTTTTGTCTTGTGTTGTGGTGCTGAGTGAAGAGGTCCAGTAAAGTAAGGCTGCATTCAGTTTGGAAAAAAACACACCCCTCTCATTTATTTGAATGGAGCCAGTCCATTGGCGCAGCAGCAGTGCCGATGCAGGGACGCCCAGCAAAAAAATTTAAACTGGCTCAACTTTTGCTGAAATGCTTTGCAAGGTCTTCTGGGAAGTATTAATAATGTTTACCCCGCGATTGCCATGACCTAAAATTGCTGCTGCCGAGATAACTTTCCAGAGTTGTCTGTGAGTATTACCAACTGTCGTGCAGCACTTTTGCGTCTGACATTAAACTGTTACACAAACTGTATTTTATGTCTCACCGATCCCTAAAACAACACTCCCCCACCAACGCAGCCCCCTGTGCTGTTTTAACAAAGGGCTGTGTTCGGTGTGAATCCCCGCTAACTTTCTGTTGCATCTTTTCATTTGTGTTTCTTTCATGCTCCATGTGTGTCGCAAAGCTTTTCCCACACTTCAAATTTCAGATGCACAACAGAGGAAGCAGATTACACTGCAGTAGTCGTATGAGAAGTGTCTTTGGGTATTTTGATTGATGTTACTGATTTTTGAGAACACTACAGTAACTGCTGTGAATCCAAACTGACTACAGCTGCCGCCCTCCATGAAGTAGCGAACTGCAAACTTTCATCTTTCGTGCCTTTTTGGGGTTAGTATTTGATACTGAAAAGGTGGAATATTCCTTTAGTGTATCTTTCTCTGTTTTTGAGCTCCAGTTCTCGTTCTCTGTGCCCATGTAGAAGGAAACAAAACATGTTTCACTGAGCAGCCTGATGATGATGAAGTGCTTTGAAACATGTTTTGTTACCCAATATAAAAACACATTGATTTATTAGTAACTGAGTGATTGATTTTGTTAGAATTTTCAAGGAGCAGTAATCTGATATCTGCCACAATTCACAGATATCTATATCACATACATTATTCTTCTGCCATGATCCAGCAGGAGGGGAGATAGCAAATGAATTTAAATGAAGGCACAGTGGAACTTTTACTGCTCATTCATCACTGTTTTGCTTCCTCCCCCCCCCCTTTCTACCTTACCTCATCTCTCCAGTGGGCTCTCAGGACAGTTTGTTGGAGATCACCTTCCGATCGACAGTAACTTCAGTGATCTGCGACCCTACAACACCTAAACCCGAGATGTCTGCCCTCAACCTGCCCACGCTTGGCAGCACTGACGGGACCAGCAACGCCTTCTCGTCTTCGAATGGGACTCTGGGAAGCCCCCTAGGTAGGGACCAGTGTCTTCTCAAACTGGAGTGTTTCCGTTTCCTGCCGGGGCCTCCGGCTCCTCGCCTCCCCTCGCCTCCCCTGCTGCTCAAGGCTAACAGGCCGGAGAGCAAAGGTCAAGAGGTGTCTGAGGGCACAGCAAAGTTGTTGTCCCGTGACGTGAAGTCTCTGGGCTGCCTGGACTTTGCCAGCTTTCGCGAGTCAGGTATCGCCTCAGAGTACGAGTCAAATACAGATGACAGCGATGACAGGGAGGATGATGATGAGGGGGATGACGATGAGGAGGAGATGGAGATCTTTGGCTGGGGGACGGACGAGGAGACGCTGAGGCTGCTTAATGTTCTCAATAGACAGGGAACTCCTGACTGTCTGGGAGATGAAATAGCGGTGTAATACACTAACCTCCTCCCCTGAACAATCCTGTCAAGATAAAACACAATAGCCTTGACCTGTTTTTGTCCATGCACTTCAGACCACTTTGTAGTGATAACCATGTAGCGAACTAACCACTGTCAGACGTGCACAATTATGTATACAAGGCGTACATCAACATTTTGGTGTAATATAGTTTCATATAAGAGAAAGGGAAACTCAAATACATAAATAAACTAATGCAAAGTCACTGAAGGTGGCAAGAGCTGAGGTAAGGACAACTTCAGTAGCCCTAAACTGGTCAAACTACTTATCACAGTCTTGGTTGGCTACCACAGGGATCCTGAACAAATCATTCAGTTTGGTAAAAAATAGAAATCACCAGAGGCAAGGTAATAGTTGCTATAAGAACTACCCCCTCCCTCCAGCGTGTCTGTTCTTCTAAAAAAATAGCCTATATATTTTTTATTTATTTATTAAATAATTTATTTAGTGTTATTACTATGTTGTATTAAGTATCGAGACTGTCGGACAGTCCTGGATCAGGGCTACAGCTTGAGTTAAAGTGAGCCAAAAATGCATCCCGATCCCTCTAGAGCTCTATGAATGTACTAAGGCACCAGAAAGTCCAAGCCGTCACACTCAGAGAGTCAGTGCATGTATTCAGCTAGGGCAGGGATTCTCAACCAGGGGAGAGCCACGTGTTGAGAATGCCTGAAAAGTAGCTAGCAGGCGAGCAGACAAGTTGAAACAGTGTGGTAGAAGTGATGGTTGACATAGTTAGCTTTAAGTAATGGATAACCAGTTGATGATGGATAAACAAAAAATGTTAGCTTAAAGTAATGGGTAAATGGTGAAATAGCTAAAAGTATTGGATAAATTGTTAAAACGCATTAATAAATAATAAAGTAAGATGTAAGATGGTAATTCGCTAAACACACCGTAAGAATATTATTTATGCCATAAGTATTACTTATTGGTCACACCTGTAATACACGTCTCAGAAGACAACAGTGTGAATCTAATCTTTAATCTATATGCATACTCATGTACACTTATACCTTAAAATTCATCCCTTGTTTCCTTCCTTTATTTTTGCCTCTTTTCTTGACTACATGCACAGACCTCTTATCCATATATCATACACACTCACTTACACCCCCAAAATCTCCTCCCAGCTCTCTGTTGTTGAATTTAAATTTGAGATTTGGGAGCTATCTAACAAAATCAGGGAGTTGACCTTAAAAGTCTTTCCTCAGAAAAAAATTAATAAAATCTAATAGTAAATTAGTCTGACTTTTTCATGAAGATGTCAAGATTTAACATGAAATCAAACCAAAAGCAAAGGTTAGTTCAGGGGTTGGCTCTCAATTCATCAGGGTTGGGAGCGTAGCTGTCAGTCATGCTGGCAGAAACAAGACGACAGGGTTTGGGACTGGAGAGACTGATGAGCTCTTGTCCTTGCTGGAGTGAAAAGTGACTCTTCTGCTGAGCAAAGACGAACACCAGACCCGGGGAGGAACTTTATTACTGTCCCTGGGTTTGGAGAGGGAATGTCCTTTCTTGCTCAGCCCATTATTAATCAAAGACTATTTTTAGATAAAAAAATCTCTGTGTCTGTACTTTATGTACAAACTTTTTTTTCTACGTCATCACCACAGAACTGTTGGACTGCTCCGTCCTTGACTTCTGCAGGCGCCCCTCTTTTTGTCTCCTCACAATTTGTTGACTTGGTAGTCAGAGCATGTTAGCACTCTTCTCACTTGTCCACACATTTTCATATTTTTTAATTTATGTAAAGCTGGGATTAGTTGGACCTCGAGGAACACTGTTTGTTTCCTTTATTCATCCCGTAAACAAAAACTCTTCCCTCGTGCCAGAACAGCAGCTCACAGATGACAGCCAAAAGTGGTCTAGTTTGTTTAAACCCAGCTATGTGTATGGCCTTCAAGCACAATGCAGTATTAAAGTATTCGTTTTGTTTCACAACGAAAGCCACAGAGTTTTCTTTCTACAAACTGTAGCCCCAGTTTATCAAAGCACTCCTGTCAAATCAACAGGGGAACCAGGCCAATGCTCAATGTGCTCACTATCTTTTGCAAAGAGCCTTTGCCTGATAAGATCAAACCAATCTAGTGTCCAGTAAACTAACTCCCAGTTAGCCACTTGCTTTCTGAGGGTGTTTGTATTAAAGGATAACAGATATTCAATCATAGGTTTTATTTGTCTGAAAGTTTGTTTAGAAATTTGTACGAACTTTTCTGAATCAATCTCTGTAAAATGTGTTGGGGCCAGTGGTTCTAGCAAAACACACAGTTTTGACACAAAAAGGCTATTCAATGTTTAGTACCAGATTGATGTCTTCATGGGTCCAAAATTTGGACCTTATCCAAATTGCACTTGTGGAAAACCTCAAAAAGCATGCTTTTCTCCTCATGATGATGATGATGCAGAGATAAATTGTCTCACAGACCTAAGACATGTAGCAATAAACCAGGAACCTACCCTCAGAATACACTGAAGATAATTTCAGCCTGGCTCTGGTCCTGGGTTTGTTTTTGATTTTGGGAACTAGGGATGAAGTGGTCTCTTATCCCAGGCACCCAAACAAGCAGATTTTACTTGTTGATATAGGATTGAATTGAATGTGTGTCCATTCTTAATATGGTGTTTTTACAGAAATGAAATCAGCACTAGGGTGCACTGTCATTACATTTTCCAATTGCAATGTTTTCTTTTCATTTAAATTGAAACTAAACATTTGCCAGAAATTATAAATCACACTTGAGTAACTTTTTCAAGGTATAAAAATAAGAAACAAGCTCACAGCTAAAAGATATTATATAAACCGATGTTTCATCTCTAACAGGGAGCTGTAGAGTATAAAAATGCCATTTAAATCACATTTCAGCAACTGATGCAATCAACGTCAGATAATATGATAATTTAAAATATAATGAAACCGCCCTTGAAAAATATATTCAGACCTGTTGTAATAAATCATCAGTTAAATGCAATTACTTCAATATCAGGCCTAATCACATTTTGATTTGTGTAGAGAGAGGTTACCTGGAGGCCTGGAGACAGGGCCCTGTCTGGAGAGCAGTGAAAGGGATCATTTGGTGTTATCACTACGTTTATTTTATTATGTCCTCCCTCGTGCCCTTGACCCACAAATGACCATTTAAGTAAGAAAGAGAAAGCCAAAGTCCAGTGTCTATATTCACACTGATGACTTGTCACCTCTCCTAAAGTTGAGGAGGTTTGTGCCCATACAGTAAAGAAGCCTTCCAAACAAAACATAGTAAACACAAAGACAAAATGAAGTCAAAGAGAAGTCAACAAGGTGATGGTTGCATTTAACTGTTTCCATTACCTGTCAAATTAAATTTTGTAAAATAAAATAAAATAATAAATAATGCTCAAACCTGAACATACAGCTACACCAATTCACCAAGAATTTACAATATCCACACAGAGCCAAGAAGTTAATTAAGTAACTGATAATACCCAAAAAGTACTGTTCACAGTTGTAATGGATTACTTATGGATCCAAGCTCTTTCGTAATAGACCAGCCTATCAGAATGGAGAATTTTCGGTGGCCAGAGAAATACTGAAGTCTGAGCTGTTTGTGGTCGGAAATGTGTTTAACCGCTTAAAACCAAGTGCATTTACGCAACGTTGCGAGCTTGAGATTGAGGCATTGTTTCTCAACCAAACATATACACTTTTTTTTATTTCCTGAATTATCACCACATTCTCAGGTCACCCCTAACAACAAGTATGATAAAATAACAGGAAAGACAAATAAAAACATTCAAATCCTATCAACATGTGCTGCCAGCTGGTGAAACTCACCATCCTCGCATCACTTTGCCAAAATTGGGTGAACCCAATATTTTCTTTTTTCTTTGACTCCGTATTTAAAGCTTGTTTTTGTGTGAAAACAACACTTCAAAGAGCACAGTTTCTTCTTGGACCTGGGGCACATTGTTCTTCTGTAAAATTTGTGAACACAAATGTTTTTCATTTTGCGTCAACCTTCAGTTTGGACCTTTTGTCCAACTGCAATTAGTCCTAACCCTGAAGTGGTCCTTTGAAAAAGAGTCAAACTCCCCTTACTTTCCAGTATTTTCCTTTCTGTTCCTGCGAAGACGCACAAAGGCACAAGCTCTGTTTTCTCTTTCTGCATCTTACTCTTTTGCATTTCTCTATTCTAAGACTCCTCTCTTTTCTGTTCTTAGCTTGCTCTTGACACTTTTCTCTGTTCTAGCCTCTGGGGTAAATACTCTGGCTTCTATGTTTTCTCCTTCTCTTTCATATCTTCTATATTTCTCTCACATGTGTGCAACCTTAACCTTATTCCCCTGTCATTTCTTGAACCCAGCTCTTCATCTGACCTCTCCAAAATGCCAAACATACTGTATTTCTCAAAGGTCTCCTGTTACTGATTTTATCTATTAGCGATTCATGTTGTGTGGTTGCAAAAATAAGTACAGGCCTCTCTGCCTTTTACCTCGACAAAGATGCTGGAGGTCAGTAATCCCCATGTGAAGGTCCTGTGATGGAGAGAGAGAGTTACAAGGAGCAACTTTTCAGAAAATGACTAATATTAACCATCTGTTCAG